AAATTAGTATAAAAATATCCATGTAGAAATTATTAAATTCTGCAATTGGATGACACGACTGAATAAGACCATCTGTTATTACTAGTCCGCGTTTATTATCTGTCTGTTATTACTAACTGTCTGTTACTACTAGTCATTTACGTCACTCTTTACCAGTAGTCGTTGTACATGATTGATATGCGACAACGCGCGTTGCACTAATTTACGAAAATACCCAACCGAGAAAATCCGCAGTGTATAACAAAATGTTTACGTAAGAAGCTGCGTCAACACGCGCTTAAGTTTTGACGGCGTTGTTCCTTAAGAGCTTTCCCTCACGAGCAAGGAGCTTCCCTTTATGATGAAACAATATCGTACGTCGCCTTTTTCAGCTACCCGCATTTCTTCCGTTCCGCCGGCGACCTCGTCTCGCCCACTCATGGTTTTCGTCGCCTCCGCCCTATCTGCATTCCTAGTCCCAACGAGCCGCAAAGGAATTCCAATTTTAAACAAAAGTTTCCTGACGGTAGTAACCTCTCTGGTCCTCCCTCTCCGTTCTACTCCTTCGCATCTTCTACCTTCTCTGCTGTCGACATCGCGGATTCTAGGCGCGCGTTCATGCATGGCCCAACCATGAGCTAGGCACATCGCTTCTTTGTCTACTAACATGTTTCGTTCGTGCCTCCTCCGTCCATTACGGAAATTCTGTTGCTTCTTAGCCGGACAAACTTTTTTTTTTAATTTTATAATGACGAAGATTGTTACATTTTTTTTCATATCTCGATAGCGAGCGCAATTTTGTAATTTATTAATGTGGAGAAAAGATTTAATTATTCTTTCATGCGGATAAATAATATCCCAACTTGCAAGAGCTTTAAAAAGCGGATAACGCTCATCTTCCAAGCGTATCTTCCCGGATGTACTTCCCGGATATACTTCAGCCGGTTAAAGAAAGCAAGAAAGATGGAAGAGCAATCGTCACAAAACATGCATATCGAGCCGCGAGTCTTCCCCGTTTTTTCTCGGATCGCCCATTTTAATGCCCTTCTCCACGTCTGCGAATCATCCGGGTAAAAAAAGCGCGAGTTGCCGACGGGGAAAATCGTAGCAAGGGCGACAATAAACAAACGCTAATCCATAAATCCTCTTGCAAACGGCAGAAAGCACGCGCAATATACGTATTGCCGACTCGAGACGTACATCAACGCTACGTCTGCTGCAATATCGATAAAACATTGATCCGCCATTCGTGCCTGAAGTCTCTTGTATAGGATTCGCAATGCCGTTAGGCATCCCCCGCGCCACGTCGAGCCGAGCCGGGCCGCGCCGTTCACAGATATACCGAACGCTTGCATACAGAACACTATACCACCGTTTCGACGAGATTATATCCGACTCTCTGCATGCGTGCACCCGCTGCGCCCATCGGGTGCACCACGTACGCGTCTGCCGGTATCGTGATCTACACGCGAATCACGAAAGCTCCGTGCATAATTCGACGCTAATGGTATTTGGGTCGGGCCGCGAGATCTTTCAGTGACCAATTACGTGGTGAATCCGTATGATTATTTGAAAAAAAGTGGATCTCTCTCTCTCTCTCTCTCTCTCTCTCTCTCTAAACACACACCCACACATACACATGTGCGTAATTTAGAATAAACCAAGTTGTAATGATTGTGACATCATAACGTATGTGCGATACCTATTTGCGAAATAATTTACATTTTAAAAAATATCGGTGTAGATCTAATAACATGCGGTGTCTATATAATTTTCACTATGTTGGTATTAATATCAATATCATCTGATGTGGATTTAATACCATAGATTTTAATCCATACCATGATGGTTGATATAAACACCAGTGGTTATAAATCCACAGCACGTTGGTGTTAATATTAACATGATAAAAATTATATAGACACCGCATGATGTTAAATCCGTATGATGTTTTTTACAATGTATGAACGCTACAATTTCCACTTAATTAAAATAAAGTAGATGCAAACTGAATTAATTGTAAAATATAAGGTTACTCAATTTCAAAAAACATACGAACAGAAATTTTTAATGCTACGTCGGGTACAAAACGTCTAGCCGGTCTCTTCTTATTTAGAAAATTTATTCCAAGCTGACGCTTGCACGACACAATTACAAATGATGCCGCATGATTCGTTCATTTCCACGTTTGACGACCGATTAATATTACTCTCGGGTGCATGGTTCCGCTGATCGCGATCGCCCTTACCCGCTTCTACCCGATAGATCAAAGCACGCGAAATCAGGGAGCGTCTGCATTATCCGGGGCGATGGCGCTTAACGTTGCGCACCGTCGCGGATTTCGATGACCTATCCTACCGGCTAATACCCGCTTCTTGCCGGATCAAAGTGCGTATTTCCGACAGGCAATGAATTGGCAAGCTCATCTCTGAAGATGGTACTGTAATTATAAGGTTGACGACAGAGCGGGACGCAAGAAGGACGAGGATTGATGATGATAGACCACAGAGAGAGAGAGAGAGAGAGAGAGAGGGGGGGGGAGGAGAGGAAAGGAAAAGGGAGAAGGAATAGGGTTGCGACGGAGGATGCGACGAGATGAACAGCGGCTCAAACACCGTGGCACAAAATTCACAATCTAATCCAACTAAGCAAATTACTCCCAACTTCCTGGGCGACAGTTACGCACGCTGTCCCTTCACCTTGCATTCCCGGCAACTTAGATCAAAGGGAACCGGCGTCCTTCTACGCGCGGGAATATCGCGCCCGACAACGTTTCATCTCACGGCGCCCGTACTTCCGGCGCCTCTTTTCCTCCACCCTAGCCGTTTCATAGACGTTGAACTTGTATGGCGTATGGCTTGGTTGGGCGATTGAACGCGTTCGACCGTTCTGCGATCGCGATCGAAGCAGACGCTCGTGTAACGAACGCATCGAAATGCATAGCTTGTCGCATGATATGACACAAGTTTAACGTGACCAACCTTGAATCATTAATTTGATGTTATTGATTTTAGTCCTCTAATGATAAGGTAAATTTTCAGAATGTATTTAGAAAGATAAGGTCAAATTTGGATTTGGTTTTTTATCTAATCAATGTATATAAAATAGGTAAAAAAGTAAATAATGACACAAAAATTCTTCATAAATAATAACATAACTTTTTTGTTCTGTTTATTTATAAATTTAAAAAATACAATGAAATTTACTAACTGACGTAAAAATGATTGCAATAAAATACACAACGGCTTTGACTGACGAAGCCATGGATCACGTTCAACTCCAACCTTACACTGATTGTGAGAAAAATTTTTAGTTGAAAACGAGCTAACCGGAAAATTCTAATTATATAAATCAGAATTCTGATTATCTCAACTAGAATGATAGATTCAACCAGAAAATTCTAATTTGTCCATTTTCAACCAGTATTCCAATCAATGCAACCAGATTCTTTTTCTAGTGTATCATTAAAGGGTTTAGGTCTTTTAATTCTATATGTTGTTAAAATATCTCATAAATGGAATTGTCATATTTTACATGGCTGAACACATTATGCTAATATATCAAATCTTTACAAAATCGTTATGTTCTATTTATGTATACGCAAAGCCGACGTATGCGTCCAAATTACTTCAGCCGTGTAAATTGCGAAGTGGAAAATCATATCGGAATAATTGAATCGCGTAAGCATCTGTACGATTAGACTACAAATTCGAACAGCTTTTCGATCATGTGTATCATTTAGAAACGGTAAGCTCGCAATCGTAACTCGCTTCTGGCTGAATAGTAGCACTTGCGAGATAGAGAGATGGCTCGAATCGACGTCGCCGGATCGCCGGCGGGTAGAGAGGTACGAGGAAAGGTAACACTTCCGGAACGCAATATCATTCGGAGCGAAGCGGACCGTAATTCCCACTTGCTTGGTCTTCGGAGGCGAGGCAGCAGAAGCTGCGTCTGTTGATTATCTGGCTGGTAAACACGGTGCATTGTTATCGATTGGGCCAACAATCTGCCGCCCCCATATTGACGCAATACTGCCTCGCAGTTGCATAATGAATGGTTGGCTAATGACCCTACGGAGCTTGCGGAAACCGCTGCGAGAGGATGACGACGAGGTCTGGGAGTCGAGCCACTTCCGGCATTAAACATGCACCACCGGCACGAACGAGTTATCCGAGACATTTATCCCGTTTAAGAGTTACCTGGCGTATCATTTATCATATGCTAAATTATTAAAAACTACAAAACTTATAAAATTAATTTTTTTTTTGTATTTCTGTATCTGCTGTTTTGACATAAATATATTTTAGATTCAACTTTTAACAACCACCATCCACCATTAACATCAATACAATATTTTTAACAATTATAGATAGTTTAGAATATGTGGTTTCGCGAAAAATTTAGATGTACTTTTTCATCTTTTTTCGTCTTTTTTATTTGGTATTTTTAGAATTATACTCTTGATGTTGAATATGAAAAGTGTTACATATTAAAATTATCTTTATGTAGATTACCACATAGCGTGTGGAAGCAACACAGACGTCTGAAATAAAACGTGAGCCGCTTTGCATACATATCTAGTCAAGCATTCCTGCGGTGCTTTCTAAGAAATAGCCGCATTAATCTTCGAGCACCGCATAAATTGAGATTTATCTGTACTTTCGTAATTGTTATATGTAAATATTTGTCTCACTGCGCATATAATTTGATAAATAACAAATTATTTAAAATAGAAAGATTGTCAGCTGTTTTACGATATGATACAATACACTGTAAAAACAGTACACTGAAAAAAACTTTGTTTATCTGATGACCAAATTAATTTTAGTTGTCTTTATTTCTTTCGTTGGAAAATGTATGTATTAAATATAATATGTTTAACTTAAATATATAGCATTCTTCATCGAAAGAAATAAAGACGAGCTAAATTATTTTTTAGTCAAATAAATAATTTTTTCTCAGTGCATTTTTTCAAATAAATTAACGTTGTAAATAATAACTATGTTATTTCTTATTTTCAGCTCTGCTGAGTACGCGGACGTTAATAAGCAGATTCTGACCACTAGTCTGACGCATCACTGTAAGTAACTTACGTTTAATATATCTACTCAGCATTTAACAATACGCTTAGAAATTTTTTAAGAAACAATTTCGTTAGAAAAATAAGAACTTTCACTTAATTTAATTGCTATAAATTCCAATAATTGCTATAAATTCCAACTGCGCTTAATAAAAAGCTTCTCATTTCAACGCATAAAGAAATCCGAATTGAGTTTCATCGTGCAGAGAGATTCTTTTACCCTAGTACCGCGACACGGCGAGACTTTCTTCGTATTTTTGTCGCGTGAATTATTCCTTTCTCGCGGGGGCTCAATGTCGTCTGCACCGTTACGCAACTTGTACTTTAGTACATCCCGACTGTGATTCTTTTGTAGCGGTAGCCGGCTTTCCGTCACTTTGCACGGTTTGCGTCGCGAGAGATGGTGAAACGTTAGACGAGGGTCGCGACTTTCGCATGAAACTTCCTCCACTTTTGTCCCCGGCTGACGCCATAACGACTCTAATCTCCTTACGCTTCAAGCTGTTTTTACCGACCAAACGAAAGTGCTTACGGCGTTGACCAGTCGGGTAAGAGACTTACAATTTACTTCTATCTAAGGAGCTTTGCAGGACGCGCAGAATGTTGTCGCTATTCCGGGCTTTATTTAATGTTCACGTCATTTTACATTTGCGCTACGACGCGTATTTATCCTGGCACCCACCGATGTAATTTTTTTACGAAGGTGCTCCGGTAAATGTAATGTTGGAAAGAAGCGAGAGAGAAAAACTGTAGAGATTTTTTGGAGTGATGGAATTAAGAGCAACTTCAAAATCGCGAAGAAATACGGAAGCATTTCTTGCGATTGAAGAACAGGAAGATATCAATCCACACACACACACACACACACACACACATGTGACAATTCTATCGTATAGCTTCGTGAATTTTACAATGCTTGTAAAGAACAACAACTTCTTGCTCTTGTAACTGCGTGAATGAATGTTGAGATTACATCCATGATTAGTGCACAGAGTGCTCCTAAAATGTTTAATCTAACTTCAACAGCGCATTCTACTAAACAAAATAATGAGAAAAGTTCATATAAACGAACAACCATCAAACGCTAACTTTTATTTACTTTTGTTTTTCCGCTTTTTAATTTGAGTAGTTGAAGCGATTTGTAATTAGAAGTATTTCTAGAATGTACTAAGAGCTAAGAAAAGTTACATTTAAAATATTTATGATATTCGTTCATTCTATTCGTCGATTCTATTCGCACTATCACGTATATGTTCGCTTTCTCATACATATCACTTCATTGATGCAAGTGCAAATTAGAGCAATTGTTTAATAAATCATTTATGTACCAAATGTTCGTAACTGCCAAATATAATTTACAATTTTGATCCTTTCCGCATTAAAGTCGTACGGTTATTTAATGTAATAATAAGCAAGAGAAATAATCTAGTTTAATGATATTACTCAAACCTCATTGTTGCAGCGAGTGCATAAAATATGTACAATTCCGATACGAATCTGATAGAGAGCATTGAATGTTTTAGATGGCAAAAGTGCATTAAATGGTTCATAAAATTTCCTTAAGGAAATCTACCAGCACGTGCAAAATTTCGTTTCTATTTATAGCTTATTCTCTTCTACGGAGTAGTGGAACGTTTCAGAACATTTCACGGATGTAGTGTTGAATGAATCATCTCGCGTTCCTACGCATGACACCCCAGGGGCTTTCGAAGGACAATCCAATTTCCACGACCAGTCTTTCGTTTCAAGAATGTTGTTTTCTGCAGGTCGGAAGTGACAGGTCTGAAAGTCTCAGGGACTTCATATTTTCTTTTTCGACGATATCAGATAGATTTTGTCTTTTTATCGAATTCGTATCTCTGTGAATTAAAAAGTCAAATGTCGCTTGTCCATTTTTCGGTTACATAATGCCACTCCAATTTCGCTTAAACACATAGATACACATATATGAATTATTTATCGTCGCTTATAAAACTCGATTATACTTCGCGGTAAATCTACACCCGTATTTTCGCTTATCGTATTACACTGCAATTATTGCAAAAATTAATTATTCCTCACGGGACTGGAAGTATTCGACTCATTGGGGAATCGTCATTCGGACGTTTATTTTAGTCCGATATAGTAGCGTTATAATTAAATAATAAATTTCACTTTGATTTACAATTTATTGACAATAAAGAAAGTTTAAAAAAAATAATATTAAGCTCGATATATTTATAAGTCTTAAGAAATTAGCATTATTATATATGCATAATAACAAAGTAAAAAATGACTTCTGTACCTGACAATTGCTATTTTCGTACAAACATCTATATACTTTATGATCGTAACATACTATAATTTTGCTTAAGGTGAGACAAATCTCCCACATTCGCGAGCTTAGAAAAACAGATCAGGGTCGACGATTGCGCGACACGTAATCCAACCCAGAGAATCGTTAAATGGTTCGTGCGACTTCGTGTTAGTGAGAAACGACGTTCATCTAGCAGCATCCAACGGAGCCAAAGTGGGTTTACATCGCAGTTAAGTTTCATCGTAACGCCCCTACGACGGTTGGATGCCGTGATGCTAAACCGTCTTTCCTGTAGTCAGTGACGACGTCGCGCAGGGTAGATTTACCGACCATTTGGCAAATGAAGACGAAACTACATCGTAGATTATGGAACGAGAGCGAGGCAGAGAGTGTAGGACGCAGTGCAGAGTGTCGAGTGTCTTAATGTAGGGGTATCTATCGACGGATATCTATCGGCAATAGTAAACCACACTGCCGTGATTTCGATAAAAACATTTGTTCGTAGTTGAGAACTTTATCACTTTACTATTGCAATCAACGCGATGTTCCTTGTTCATTGAAACACGATCTTCTTTGAAATTGTATTTTCGGTTATTTTTGAATTTCGATTCCAAAGCATGCCTTTCAAGTTCGCAATGCACGCTGCTATGTACGTATATTTGTGATTAAATAGAAGAGTCATTACCAAGAATAATTGGGCTTCAAAGAGTCGCTAACAACCGACTTTGTAATCACTGCAATCGAACGGAACGGTCGTTAGGACCCCGATACCTTCCTTCTCTGATCTCGAACGAGACGTCTATAAACGGCGCGGCAATGGACCCGTTTGCTTTCTATCGACTGCTACTTTGAACTTTCGATAGCACTCAGTCTATGACACGTGGAAGCTCTCTTTTGAAGTAAATTAAACGGAAATCATTATCCTCCCCCCCTCTCTCTCCCTCCTCTTATTTCGTGCGCATCTCTTTCGTCTTTTATCGTTGTTATAATTACGTAAGCATTACTTTTCATTTTGCGTATCATTTTGTTTGCAATAAAGAGTAGGTGCATCTTTTAATTGTTCAACAAAAAAATTTTTGCTCATGACACAAGGTCTATTAAATTAGTAATAGATCAATATCTATTTATTTTTTTAAGAATAAAATAATTTGTTAAGAATAAAATGCTCTTGTGGATTGTTACTCGACATATATAAAAATTTAAGTACGTACATAAGATATTAATAAAGTTAGTACAATATAAAATAAATATTAATGTAGTATGCTAACGATTATTAATGCTAACGAGCAAAAATATACTCTCGAAATTTTCAAGGTGATACATCTATAATTTGTTCGCAAAAAGAATGCCACATATATGTGACGGTTATTCGATACTTGTGTGTCTGCTCACTGTGCTAAAAATTTCCGGGAAAATAAATACTGTTCTGCTAGAACCACATTCGTGTCAATATATTCACGCCCTGGCGATGCCTCGCGGTTTTTCGATTTTGTCAGGGCAAACAAAATTTATGAGTAAACCGCTTCACTGTAATGTTATAATACCATCCATCCTCATCGATTATCACCGCTTTTAATAACTTCTATCTCGTCTCCATGGATCATCATCAATCGCGCGACAGATTTTGAAATATATTTAAACTTCTTCTATCAGAGAGAGATAGGAAAAAGGAGAGAAAAAGAGAGAAGGAAGAATCATCTAGAAACAGATTCATTTTGATCGACAAATTATTATAGAAAACATGACGCTAAAACATGACATGAGCCATAATATTTATCAACTAAATAATAAACTAAATAACTAATAAATATTTAATTGAACATATTTCAACTAAATAAATTTATCTAATCAAAATGTAATTTCTTTTAAAATTTACGATGAATGAATTCAAATGTAATTTCAAATAAATTTATTCAGTTGAAATTTTAAATGGATGAATTTTTTCAAAAATGTTCTTAAAAAATAAATGTAATTAACGGCGAATGTATGTATATGAGAAAATAAAGGTAGTGTAATACTTCACACTTATTGATATGCAAATCTAGTGAGTAAACTGAAACAGCGAAAAAAAGAACAATGCATGTTGTTAATTCGTCGATACGAACGATCCACTTGATCGAACAAGCAAGCTCATCTTCGTGAGAGATAACACCGGCGCGGGCACGATAGGTCGCGACAAAAGTTAACGAGATGGTGTTAATTAAATCCCGCACGGTCGATCGCGAGTGGGAAAATTTGACAATGGATGTGCCTATACGCTCTCGTTGGTGCATAGGATATATATACACATGTATACGTATATACATATATGCATATGTATATATACATACAATACATATACATTTTACATATACACATACATTACACACACGCACATATATATATATATATATACAATATACGTCAGCTTGTCTATGCATCGACGCGCACAACGCTACCACGACGGATCGGTCGGTGGGCACGGCCAGTGGTCGAACTCCGATGAATCGATGACCGCTTTTAGTAATGATGTGTACATGGCAGGCCATCCTCTCCCGATGGAACGCCGCGTCGGGGTCAACGCAGGACGCCGCGGCCACACCGGAGGATCGTGTGTAGTGGCAGCCAGAGTTTGCCGAGGGGGACTTATTACGTCCCTGAAATTACCATATAAATTATCGCGTGATGAACCTGCCGGAGTGCGAAACCGTGCACGCTCCAGCCT